ACAAGCAGAGTGAATCCTCCTGGGAGTTCACTCTCTCTTAAACACTAAACATGTTTTGTTTGTGAAGAAACTAATGAGATAATTACATTTTTGACTCCTCAAAATCATCAATCAAATCAAAGACACTGTGAATACTTATATTCTGAAACTTGTTGTTAATCTAATTGTGACTTTTAGGATGGGTTCACACTTTGTTTGATCTTGGATTGAGTCTTGGTTGAGTCAGAGTTTAAGTCCTGGTTTAGTCTCAGTTTAGTCCCAGTTTTGAGGTGATGTGAACAAGGTGTACTATCAAATCTGAATGTAATATGACTATATCATTGTGCAGACTGGCATCAATATGTATAATAAATCTTCACTAAAAATGTCTTTCTGACATGTCGTTACTGTGCATTAACTTATCCACGTTAGCATGACGTGGTTAATAGAAACTATTAAATACTGAACATATCTCTGATCACGTTGCAGTAAAAGGTTACACTTGGAATCAACAGCATGATTTGTTTTGTTTTGTCATCAAATACTTGAAATTGCAGTGGCCACTGAATGCTGCACAAACTTAGATGTTTTAGTTTTTTGTTTGTTTAGTTTGGAAATAGTTTGTAGTAGATAACGTTATTAAAACACATGTGCACAGTTAAGGAGTGAAACTGCAGTTCAAGTGTTTAGTTCCACTTCTACATAGACACTGGTACATGAGACAAAAGCTTATAGACAGACAGTAAAGAAAACAACAGTTGGAGTTTAGGTTGGGTTGGAGCATACAATGACCTACTTAAAGATGTTTTAGTAATGTGGCCATACCGGCTTGTCAAAGCCTGATCCTGGCAGACCTCAGAAGTTCAGCAGTCGGGTCTGGGGAGGACCTGGATGGGAGACCACTGGGAAAATCAGGTGCTACAGGGGGCACTAAAAACATTAACATTAAAAAACTGTTGTTGTGTCTTTAGGCACAATGACAGCCACAGTGTGAAGGAATGAATAATGCTCTGTAAAGTGTCTTTGTGACATATGTCTGGGAAAAGCAGTACATAAATAAAAACTGACTTAGTAATGAGTAAATCAATAAATGAATAATGATATGTCTTTGATGGGCCAGTCAAACTTCTTTACATTCATTACAGAAAACAGCTGAATTATTCAGTTGCTGATTAAATCTTCTGCCAACTCCCTTCTAACCCTTTGAAATCTCACCGTTCAGATTTTCACTTGACTCCTTAAAGAAGACATATAATGCTTCTTTTCACTCTTAATATTGAAGTTGGCTGTATATAAATATTCATCTAAAACATCTTAATAATTGGGGTGTGCAAAAATATAGAAATATCAGTATTAAGTATCGATATATCGCCGAGAGTATTTTTAAAAATACTTTACTAAATTATTTTGTTCAGAGGAAGGAAACTCGTTGATGAGACGGATTTGACATTTTCACTGATGATTACAATGTTTGTATTTCATAATCACTTTGCACAACAAGTGGTTTAATAAAGACTTCACAGTCAACATTTAACCTTTATTTTTTATGGGACCATATCAAATCGATTTGAAATATATTGTATCAAACCAAAAGTGCACTGTATGGAGATATGTGTTGTATTGGCCACTTCTTAATGACACCCAGCTCTGTTAATAATAGAAACAGACCTACTGACTTCCTGTTCAAAACTGCAGAACTTTATAGTGGCATCTTGCAGTTTTTAATTTAGGTGTATTTGATTTTTGCGTGGCATTTTAGAATCCTACCTGCAGCACTAAGATGTTTGGGTTTTTATGTTCAGGGATGTGGACAGGATGGGGGACTGGTGAGAAGAGGAAGCCTCGACTCCAGGACAGTGCAGGATTACAGGATTACTCAGACATAATGAGTCATCAATCAATCAAGATTTAACTTTGAGTGAGCTGGGATGAAGACAACACCATTCTAACAAGGTTCAAATCTTATACAAATCTATTTTGCATGTTCCATTTAAATACAATCTCTTTTGATAAGTTGCTTTGATTACGTCAAATGTAGATCTGATAGTAGCAGCAGTAATCTGTGTATCACTCTTTCATTTGTTTATCAAAATAAAACCAAAAATAAGAAAACGAAAAAACAACTATTTTCTTCTTTGTCTCCAAAACCAAAAATGAAAAAAAACGATAACGATTCGTTTTTTTCAGCTTTCGATTTTATGTTTAAATGAAAAATGTAAAAAACAGATAACAGCCATTTTCCATTTTCGTGACTTAAACTGTGATGCTGAACTGAACCAGGACTAAACCAGGACTAAACCAGAACTAAACCAGGATTAAACCAGGACTAAACCAGGATTAAACCAGGACTAAACCAGGATTAAACCAGGACTAAACCAGAACTAAACCAGGATTAAACCAGGACTAAACCAGGATTAAACCAGGACTAAACCAGAACTAAACCAGGATTAAACCAGGACTAAACCAGAACTAAACCAGGATTAAACCAGGACTAAACCAGGATTAAACCAGGACTAAACCAGAACTAAACCAGGATTAAACCAGGACTAAACCAGGATTAAACCAGGACTAAACCAGAACTAAACCAGGATTAATCCAGGACTGAAACAAGGACCAGACCAGGACTGAGACTGGAACTGAGACCAGGACTGAGACCGGGACTGAGACCGGGACTGAGACCGGGACTGAGACCGGGACTGAGACAGGGACCAGACCAGAACTGATACTAAGACTGAGACTAGGACTGAGACAGGGACTGAGACCAGGACTTATATTGTATGTTAAAGATGTGCAATGAATTGAGTTTTGATCGTGATTTCGATTTGTGTGTCAAACGATCTCCAAACTCATATAATCAAGTTGAAATGATTTAAAGCTTAACAAAGTTTATTTCAAGATATTTTTATATAAATAAGTTTATTTATTTTATGTTTTAAATATAGAGATTGTAGAACGGCTGGATATAGAGTTTATTTTGGACACATTTACGTTTTTTTGCCTTGTTTCATGTTCAAAGTATATTTTATTCATTTTATGTTTTATACATTATTGCAAGTAGGACGGTGTGCGGGATTTTTTGCTCTATGTTCTCAGGCTGCTCCGGCACCCTTCTCAAGTAACTGATGTGCGAAGTTCTCATTATTTTATGTTTTATACATCACAAAACTGCTCTAAGGTTCAGATTTGTAACCTATATTTATTTTCCATTTGGAGGTTTTGGGTAAATTACCAATAACAAAGTGTTTTGTTTTTTTCTGACTAAATGCATTGTGTAACTAAAAAATAATCGTTTGAATAATCATGATTTCAATATTGACCAAAATAAACGTGATAATAATTTTTTCCATAATCGAGCAGCTCTACTGTACGTCACTTAAACTAAACATAAACTTCATACTGGAGCAATCCTTTGCCTTGTATATTTACTTTTACATGTTATATATGCAGTGTTGGGGAGTAACAGATTACATGTACCAGAGTTACGTAATCAGAGTACAAATTATGAGTAACTGTATTCAGTTACAGCTACTGTTTCAGTGAGTGGTAATTGGATTACAGTTACTTTGTTGAAATAAATGGATTAATGGATCTAAACCAGGTCTAAACCAGGACTAAACCAGGTCTAAACCAGGTCCAAAAAATGATCTAACAGGATTTAACAGGATTTAACAGGACTAAATCCTGCTGTATGGACTGTGTCTCCTCCTCTTCTATCAATAATATTTTTAATTTGGTTCAGTAAAGTCTGGGCTTTTCATTTTCTTTTAGCAAACAAAACTTCTTATGTTACGATTTCCTCATCTTTGCTTCTCTACAGCAAATCAAGTAATCCAAAGTATTCAGATTACATTACTCACCTAAAGTAACTTGGATTACATAATGGATTACGTTACAAACTACATTTTGGGGTATGTCATCTGTCATCTGCAGGGGAATATATATTTAAAAGTCACCCTCCCAACACTATATATATATATGATAATAAAGTGGGTAACAAAGTGTGATTTTGTGACACAATTGAAAAAAACAGGAAACCTAAATGTAAAGGGTGTTTTTTTTTTTTTTTTGTTTTTTTTTTATCTGTCTCTTCATCTTATTGGTCACACTGGTGGTTTTCTAGATTGTGATCATGTCAGACTCTCAGATGGGGCAAGAGCCAGTTGTCTCTATCGATTACGCTGTACTTTGTAAATTTACCTTCTGGATATTTCATGTTTTTTACCGATTTCAGACTTTAGACCCATGAACTTGCTCTATTACAACAAAAAATCTGCATGTAATGAAATATTATAGGTTTATAGAGAGCTGCGATGGCATCTGAAACCCAAAAATGAATTTATGATACTGTGTTAGCAAATAGTACTAAGGTATCCGCTGTTGTTGTCAGTAATTACAATGTGACTAGATTTAGTTTTGAACTTACAGATAGGTGCACAAATAGTACATCCAGTAATAAACAAAAATGATATAGGCTATAAAAAGTCAATAAATAAATTAGACAAGTTCAATAAAGAGAAAGTAAAGAGAAGTAAAACATATGTGCGTCTACTTCCATGATGCCACCTTGTTATTTTTCTAGTTTGAATGTATAATAATAGATTACTTCACTTTTTTTTTACACTTTTGGGTTTAAATCTTGCAGCCATACTATTACCAAACAATCCCCAAACAATAATTACCACTGGATTTCCAAAGAAACTCCTCCAAGTTTCCCCCTCCTAAATAATTTGACAATGCAAGAATCTTAAAACTGTTTATACAAGGTTTTTTTTGCACATAAATAACATTAGATTTCATTTTCTTTTACAATTTAGGCTACAGCTATATGCAAAATTGTTGTTATCCCTGTCTGGTTAGTAACAATTCCTCTTTTTTTGAGACATAGTTAGAAAAGTTCGCTTAAATGGCAACGTTTACGCACTGAATTGGCACTTTTACGCACTGAATTGGCACTTTTACGCACTGAATTGGCACTTTTACGCACCGAATTGGCACAATATTGGCTGAAAGTGTGGACTTACCTGCTCATGTTTGCAGCTTTATTTGCTTGGAGGGTAAAGCTGGTTGAAGTTGGTCTTGATGTTGCTCTTGTCTTGAGGTGGCAGCAGGATATCCACTGTCAACTCGCTCGTCAAGAGTCAAGACAGGCGGCAATAAACTTCTTTTTTTTTTTTTTTTTTTTTTTTTTTGGTAACGCCCCTTAGTGTCAAATCAGGTGTCCTCCCCCCTCCTTCGTAACAATAAATAAATAATAAACAAAGCAGAGTCATACAATTGTAGAAACCCGGAAAAGCTTCGAAATATGCAAATGTCCCCCTGCCCTACAAACGCTTAAAATAAATAAAGTAAGTCTAAGCTAAAAGTCTAAAATATTTCGTTTCAGATATTGTAGTAATGTTGAAATTCTGCACCTAGGAAATTGTTCTATTAAATTCATGCTAATTTAAACTAAAGTAAACGCTAAAACGCGTGTCTGCAGTGCGTATAATCTACATTGCGTCAAGTTTACCCACATTAACGTAAAATAAAATCCAAGATAAACATGCAAAATTTCTAAAAGCGCCATCGAAATAAACCGAAAGCAGATAAACGTGTTTTTCTTCGCGCTGGGGTGGAGCATTGTCGGGGGGGGGGGTGTCAAAAGAAAACCATAAGTTTACATTTTGTTTACGCGAGTCTCGTGTGGCTCCCTCTGCTGGTGCGTTTGTGTACTGCAGGGTTGCTTCAGGACACGCTATAGAGAAATTTGTTGACATCTGGAGGTTTTTAGGACCTTCACAACAACTCATGGGGCGTTTTCATGGCTCTGTAATAAAAACTTTTTGATTTGTAGAGTTAAACTGTGCTGTGCCACAAGTGTTGTTTTTTAAGAAGCTGTTGTTTTGCAAGTCTCAAATCTTCAAGTTTTTAAACCGGGGGTCGCAGAACTTTTTTCTCTGGGGGCAACATTATCGCTCCTGATGACGCAGATTATATTCTTTGAAAACCACCACACTTTCTTTACATATCAGTCAAACTGCATGCTCCTTACATTGAACAAAAAAGTAATCAGTCGTCAGTGTTGGGAAAGTTACTTTTAAAATGTATTCCCCTACAGATTACAGATTACAGATTACATACCCCAAAATGTAGTTTGTAACATAATCCATTAATTTATTTAAAGTGAGTAACGTAATCTGAATACTTTGGATTACTTGATTTGCTGTAGAGAAGCAAAGACTTCAATTAAGATGTTTTGTCTGCTAAAAGAAAATAAAAAGCTGAGTCTTTACTTAATCAAATTAAAAATATTGTTGATAGAAGACGAGGAGACATGTCCGCTCATCATCGTTTAGTCCTGTTAAATCATGTTTTAGTCCTGGTTTAGACCTGGTTTTAGGCCTGGTTTAGATCTACTTTAGATCTAGTTTAGTCCAGGTTTAGTCCTGGTTTAGACCTGGTTTATACCTAGTTTAGTCCTGGTTTTAGTCCTGGTTTAGATCTAGTTTTGTCCTGGTTTAGACCTGTTTTAGACCTGGTTAAAATCTAGTTTAGACCTGGTTTAGTTTCCAGCAATGAGTGGAATTACCGAAAAATATATAGCCCAAAATGTGAAAACAGGAAAATACCTCTGTGTAATCCATTTATTTCAACAAAGTAACTGTAATCCAATTACCACTCACTGAAACAGTAACTGTAATTGAATACAGTTAACTCTGGTACCTGTAATCTGTTACTCCCCAACACTGTGGGTCGTCCACTGTTCTTTGAAAACTCACCACTCTCTGTCAACTTTTTGTGCTGTAGCCGAGGGGGGAGGAGGCTGAAAAGGGGATCCCCACTTTCATGTATTTGTTTAAATATAACACAGTCTGGCTAAAACGTAGGCCAAAGGCAGTAAATAGTGGGAAAAATACACTTCTTTATTTTAGTTAACAATATTAAAAGAGCTCCTTTTACACATTTAAAAAAAAGTACACATTCAACACAACAATTTGGAGCTAAAAACTCAAACACAAACCGGCTGCACAACAGGAGCACAGGCGCAGAGAAAAAACCTGAAGGGGCTCGGTGCAATCATTTATTTATTTTTTTTCATGTTTTTACTGGTTTGGATGTGAGAACGTGTCTGTGTTTATTCATTTTTACTGCTTCATTGTATTTTGTACAGTGGCAATAAATCTAAATCTAATCTAATCTTAGACCAGTCGTCCGTGCCTGTGTCTTGTGCGGAGCTTGACGGCCGGCTGTGAGTTTATTGTAGTTTTATGAGCATCCTTCACATGAAGTTCTGTCACTGAAAGCCACAGTGCACACTCAGGCATTTAAACTTCCTGTTATGTGCAACAGTTTGAGGACTTAGCATTTTGTTTTGAATGGTTTTGAATTTGTCATCATTCTGTAAACCATGGATAGCCAATATTTAAAAAAACAAAAAACAAAACACACACACACAAAAAAGGTCCCTGGATTTGCGTAAAAAAGTTATGAAAAGCGGCTGCATTTGCAATGCAATAAAATTATGTTTAGGCTTTGAAACTTATTTGGATTCCCTCTACACATATTTTTCTCAGAACATGAACGTCACTTTTTCATGTTGATGAAATTTGATCAAATCATGTTGAATATGCATATTTATCTTATGTTACCTTATCATGAAATGTATAAGTCTGTATAATTTAATTTAATTGATCTAATTCTGTAAAAGAAAACAAAAACAGTCTTTAGTTTTCCACAGTTCTGTTTTGTCTTAAACAGAATCAAACACACAGAGACACACAAGTACAGAGACACACAGTTTGGAGCTGGACAGTGTGAAGATTTATTCCAGTGAAGAAGCTCTGGTCTCTGTGGACACAGAATAACACATGATGATCACATTCTGATCATCTACTCTGTTGTACATGTTTAAATACATTTAAAGTACTTATTACTACAATAATGGACCAGAACAGAAGAACAAGAACATTAGAAGTGTATCTGCAGAAACAAAACTCACCATGTGCTGCTTTTCTTCCTCTAAACACAGTAACAGGGAGGGCATCTGGTATAAAGTCTCCTAGTGCCACATCACCCTGGAGAAACATGAAAACTGTTTCAGTAGAAGTACATTTTGAAAAATAAAAATCTTTTAAAATCATTTTAGTTGAGTTACTTACTTTGTTCATCTGTGCTCTGTGTTTTGTTGGTTCTCAAACATCTTCCTTTTTCCTGAAACATCAGCTGTAACATTCATGAACTTCCCCACAGCTCCAGCAGAGCTCTGGACGTCACTCTGTGTTTGTAGACGACTCTGGAACAAACACATTCAAATCTGATACAACTGTCACACTCTTGTAGATGAACAGTCAAAGACAATTTGTTTCATGGAAACAGTCCTGACATTAATTTCAAATAAAACACCACAAACATGTTTTAACAATGACGACATTCTAGTCCAGAGAAACATATAAAATCTTTGAAAAGTCTCACCTCCAGATCAGTTCTCATAATCCTCCTGCTCCACACTGTGTGTCTCTGCTCCTGGATCTGTCCTGTGTCCTGTTACATTGGAATTTTCCCTCCAAAGGTTTTGGGGAGGAGAATTCCAGAGGGAGGAGCCTCACCACAGATTAGAATAAAGTCATGTTTCCTCAACCTGATTAAAACATGCAGGTCTCACATCCACCACAATCAAGTGACCTTTGTAAGATTTAAACATGCTGGACAGAGAAATGTAAAAAAGTCATGTTATTGTTGTCAATTTTTATTTTTTTTTTCAGTGAAGAAACAGAAAGGGATTATCAACTGTGTGGGAACAAAACAGGAACTTGCACTTGTTTGTTGTGGTTCAACTTTAAACAGAACAAGAGGCTATACTAATATTAAAATATAAACTATGATTAAAATATATATATTATATATATATATATATATTATATATACAGTGTTTGTGCATGAACGCGTTCAAAAGAACGCGTTCATTGAACACGTTCATTTTTCAGTGAACTTTGAACTGAACGCAACACTTTGTAAATCAAGAACTTGAACGTGAATTTGTTCAAATTATGTGTGATGAACGACGTACGTCACTGTTGGGGTTCAGTTAAACGTCGGAATTTGTTTTCACCTGACGAGTGACGATCTGCTCGCACTTCACCTCGCGAAAACCACAGCCGCGTGTCAACGCGAAGGCGACTCCACCGGCAGCTTTAACGGAACGTACGGGCTCTTGTGTCTCTCAATCAGAAGTCAATCAAACTTGACTGGGCGCGTTTAGCTGCTTGTATTTACCTTCTGTACAGGCTGACCACGGCAAACGCAAGGATTTCAAAAGTAAATTTCAAAGCACTAATTAACAGTCTATGTGGATCTGGGCTCTTTCACTTGATACACAACTGCCCAGGGAGCACAATGTGCTGATGGTAAATACACAAATACAACAACAGATACATGCTCTTTGTGTATTTTGACGCCTACGCTCGTGTAGAGCCTCTAAAAATAGGATGGATCCTATTTTTTGACGCTCTACAGGCACAGGACGTGCTGCTCCACGCGCGTATTATTTTAGGTCGTTTTCACACCGCTAGTTCGATTATTTGGTCCGCACCAGGCAATAAAATTGTTATTATGTAGCAAACACACTCCAGTGTGGTCCGCGTTCACACCGGCAAACGAACCAAAAACTGGTTCATTCACGTGTCTCTGTTTCCCCGGTAAAACAGCGATACTCCAGTTATCAACACCGATGTTCCTGTTAATACCACGGGCCGTCCTCATCTCAAATTATCACCATGAACTCATAAAACAGCAACATGTAGAACTTTGTACAAACTCACCGCATCAGCCCAGAGTTCGGGTAACAGCAGCAGCGCTCACAGTAGCGCGCAGCTCCTCAGGACGGGGCTGGGGTCTGGTCCTTGGTCTTCTGTTACAAGCTCGTTGGTCAGATGGTCCGGAGGCTTCATCCTCCATGTGCTGGTTCCAAACAGTGGCGAGAAAGACCAGTGCGCAATGACTGGGTCTGAGCGGGTACGTTCCGTCGTCTGCGCGTTGGTTCTGTGCGGGAAAGCGAGAATGCGCTGTGGACTACAGGTCCGGGCGCGCTGCTCCTGTCCTCCGCGCTCAAGAATCGCAGCTGGTTCCGAGGTGGTGCAGCATCCGGACAGAAGCGTGAGTCCAGTTTGGTTTGTTATATGTTGTTCTGAGCGTCCGTCCTCCGCGCATTTGGTTCTTCCCGGGGAAAGCGCTTCCTCAGGTCGAGGCTCCCCGCTCCAGCTCCTCTGAGCCCGGCCTGAACCAGAGCTGCTCCCGCTGGTTCGGGACTCTGGTTTGGATCTAGTCCGACTGTATTTCTCACACTAGGCTAAAAGCAGGGACTTTTTAAAGTTGTATCAATTGAATGGGCGATTGCCTATTGCCATAAAATTATTTGGTTAATTAAAGCCTAAAATAACAAATGTTGGTTGCTGTGTGATCACGGGGGAACACCGGGTCGTCTCTGTGCGTGTAGGTCCCGAACAGGCTTACGCACCCCCAATTTTGACTCACTCTGGAGCCACACGTTCGCACATACTTGCTCTAATCTTCGTGTATTACGTTCTCAGTAATGGCCATTGTTGGTAAAAT